AGCCTGCCCCTGTTCTCACCAGTCTGCCCCTGTTCTCACCAGCCTGCCCTGTGATCTAAGGCTGTGCGCAGCAGCTCCATGGACCAGTAACCCTGTGGGGCGTCTCCTAGCTACAGCCTCCGAAGTGGAGTATAGGAGACAGGAGGATCAGTCAAATAAAGGTCCTATCAAGAGAGTAGCCACAGAGATGGGCCATGGATTCCACCATACACAAAACAGTTGTGCAGATCTCACGAACTCGAAGCTGTTCGAGGTCCTTGTATGCACCGTGAAAAGTAGCTGGGTGGGATGTGTCTTTAATGCTATATAAATTAGTGGGTTTTTTTTACTTTGACAAAAGATTTTTCGTAAATTTTTTTGGTTTTGTTTGTTTGTTTGTTTTGGTTTTTGAGACAGGGTTTCTCTGTAGCTTTGGAGCCTGTCCTGGAACTAGCTCTTGTAGCCCAGGCTGGCCTCAAACTCACAGAGATCCTCCTGCCTCTGCTTCCGAAGTGCTGGGATTAAAGGCATGCACCATCACTGCATGGATGCATAAAAAGGCATGCAAAGCTTTTTAATAGTAGATGCCAGAGTAACGGCTCAGGGGTTAAGAGCCTTGCTACTTCTGCCGAGGACACAGGGTCAGTTCCCAGCACACACATGGTGGCTCACAGTCAGCAATAACTCCAGTTCCACAAGATCTGGTGTCCTCTCCTGATCTCTGCAGGCACCAGACAGGCACACGGGGCACATACATACACACAGGCAAAATACTCATACACATAAAGTAAAATTAAATGTTGTTTTAAAATGTAATAGTAAATGGGTATTAATTGAGAAAAAATACTTTAAATTCAAAGCTAAGCCTCTTCTGTTTCATTTTATAGATTTGACTCCCAGGTCTCTTTCTGATAAGCATCTTGCTTTTCATAAATTTCACTCGGAAAATTCCAGTGTCAGAATGAAGTTTTCCAATGTTTGTTTGTGGGTGAAAAAAGTTAATAATCCTAGAGCATGATTAGATGACTTTCAGTAGGAGGTGGGCTGGAGTGAGAGTCGCTCTGTGCTCAGACAGTCGGTCCGTTTCCGGCATCTCATGCCGTACAGCAACACATGACATACGGCTTCTAGATGCTGTCTCTGGAACTGTCGTAAAGTTGGAGGGTTTTAACCTTTTTGTTTGTTTTTGTTGTCGTTTATTTTTATTGAGTTAGTTAGTTAGTTAGAGGGTTTTTTGTTTTTGGTAGAGGATTTTTTTTTTTTGAGACAGAGTTTCTCTCCATATTCCTGGCTGTCCTAGAACTCACTCTGTAGACCAGGCTGGCCTCGGCCTCAGAGATCTGCCTGCCTCGGCCTCCCGAGTGCTGGGGTTAAAGGTGTGAGCCACCACCGCCCGACTGACCTGTTGTCAAGTTTTAACGACAACTGTTCATATTTCAGGTAGAAGATGAACAAGCCCCTGACACCATCCACATATGTGCGCAGCCTCAATGTCGGACTCATTAGGAAGCTGTCGGATTTTATTGATCCTCAGGAAGGGTGGAAGAAATTAGCAGTGGCTATTAAAAAGCCGTCTGGTGATGACAGATACAATCAGTTGCATATAAGGTAATAGGCTGTTTATTTTTCTTTTCATTCCTTCGCATCATAAGAAGGATGCAGGCATAAACACTGTCTAATGTAACTGCCTCTTCTGATCTTAGCATGCTTTTCTCCTGTCTCTGCCTCACGAGTACTGGGATTAAAGGTGTGCACCACCACTACTTGGCCTAATTTTTAATTTAAAAAAAAATTAAATGAAAAATAAAGATGTTTTCATTTCTATTTAATTAAATATACTTAGGATCAAAATGTAGGCACATTCTGCTTCATGAAGCAGGCTTTTCATTTAAAAATATATAGCTGGAAAACTGGCTATGTCATGTAGGGTGCTTGTAAGACTTTCCGATATAGCTGAGTGGCTTCAAAGTATACACTTTGGTTAGAAGAGCTCAGAATTTAGATCTAGACTTGGGTCCATTTTTGAGGGAGCTGTGTGGCTCACATCTGACTACCCCACCCATCCCAGCCTAGCGGTCTCATGGTAACATTCTCAGCTGTATATCCTGTGGCTCTCTGAGGAGATAGTTGGTAAATAATATTAACCAGGTGCGTTTGACTGGCATATGTGTATATGTGTTTGTGTGTGCATGTTAAGTGTACATGCTTGTGGAAGCCAGAGGTCACTGTAATATTAATTTGGGAGTATCACCCCAACCCTCCAACACCCCTGTATACAAGAAGTCTGGGATGATTGGAAGCCCCAGTCCAGACTCCAACTCCCAGCCTGCCAAGTGCTGAGCCCTCCCCCAGGGTGGGTCAGGACCACTCCCACAGTCTGTTTAGGCTAGTGCTGGAAAAAGGAACACGTGGTTTCAGGTTTGCGTGGGCTTTTCTCCCAGCCATGCTTTCTCGGTCCACCCATGCCATATTTATTAAACACGGGCATTTTAATTTGGTCTAATCTGGTTTGATTGGAGTTTCTTGCGTCGGCAGAGAGGTTTTTTTGTATTAAGATTAAACCAAACAGTCACCAAGGGGTGACTTGGTCACTCTTAATCCAACTTGTTTTTTGAAACAGGGTTTCTCACAGAGCTCGGAGCTTATGAATTCATCTAGACCAAGTAAACAGTAAGCATCAGGGAAATGCTCATTACTGCCTGTCCAGTCCAATATTAGAGCAGGTGCCCCCGCACTGGCTCTTTGCCTGGATGCTGGGGAACTCAGGTCCTCAGTCTTCATCTGACAATGGCAAGTGCTTTACTAACTGAGCTGTCTCTCCCTGCCCCAAAAGTTAGCTTACATTTGTTAAAAGTTCTTTATTTTATTCTGAGTATGCATGCTTTGCCTACATGTCTGTGCTTGTCCCACATGCGTTCCCACGCCCGTGGAGGGCAGAAGATGGTTTTAGATCCCCTGGAATTGGAAATACGGGTCATGGTTGTGAACTGTCCTGAGGATGCTGGGAACCAAATCCTGGTCTTCTGTAAAGGCAGCCAGTGTTCTCAACCACCGAGCATGCCTCCAACCCCAGTTGTTACCTTGAATTTTCATCATCTTTGGCTCCTTTTCTGCCGAGTGTCTTTCTCGTAGTTGGCATCGTATTGGTTCGCTCCCACTCCCCCTCCCTTCTGTCTTAAGGAGGTCCAGGGATCCGGAGAGAAGGGGATGCGGGAGTGGCCGATCGGTGTCTACTTTCGGATGAACTCTCCTGTGTGCTAGTTTCGTCTCTTGCTTTTCAGGAGATTCGAAGCCTTACTCCAAACTGGGAAAAGCCCCACGTGTGAGCTGCTGTTTGACTGGGGCACCACAAACTGCACAGTCGGGGACCTTGTGGATCTTCTGGTCCAGATTGAGCTTTTTGCCCCTGCTACTCTCCTGTTGCCGGGTAAACTGGGCGTGGCCAGAGTGACGAATGGCAGAAATAGAAGTGTTGGTTTTTCTTTTGATTCTTTAATGGCATGAACAAACCTGACACTCGAGTCCTCTCCATTCTTTCAGCCCTCCCTAGCTTTTAACCACGGTAGATGCCTGATGCTCTGGGCTGTGCTGCTAAATTGATAAAAGCTCAGGGATGGAGTCTGATCCCCTCAGAGTCAGGTAGTTTTGTGCCAGGAGGGTTTGTTTAGAGGGACAAAGAATGCGTCCTGTAGAATCAAAGAACTTATTCTTTTAAGCCATGTCTCCCTCTAGACCCCCATTCGGCTTTACCTTGAGAGGACTCTCATCACAGCTTCCCCTGGGTTACTGTCCTTCTGACCTCTCATTACCCCACTTCTTTCCTCTCTCCTGCTAGTTGATCTCGGCCTTTACTGTGTAAAGAATCTCTTAGAGTTCTTGTTGAACATGTGGATTCCTGGACCCCCATGTCACACCTTCTGTTTTGGTTTTTTTCTTTATTTGGTTTTGGTTTTTTTGAGACAGAGTTTCCTCCCTGTGTAGCCCTGGTGCTGTCCTGGAATTTACTCTGCAGAGCAGGCTGGCCTTCAACTCACAGAGATCCACCTGCCTCTTCGTCCCGAGTGCTAGGACTAAAGGCATGCCCCACCACTGCCCGGCATCACACCTTCTTAACAGAACTCATAGCATGAGTTCAATGTCTAAAATATCTTTGATTCCTTCTGCCCCCGGCCCCGTGTGTTTGTGTGTGTGTGTGTGTGTGTGTGTGTGTGTGTGTGTGGTTTTTTTTGAGACAGATTCTCATCTCATGTGGCCCAGGCTGATCTTGAATTTACTGTGTAGTCGAGACCAAAGTTGAACTTGATCCTCCTGCCTCCACCTTTAAAGTGCTGGGACTCCAGGAGGACACCATTGTGCCCACTAGTTGTCTCTTTTTAAATAACTACAGTGTTTCCTAATTTCCTCACGGTTCTGGACCACTTTTGTGAACACGATCACTCTGTCTATTCATCTGTATCACCATGGACAGCATCATCCTAGGTATCTCCCTGTGTTTGGTGAGGATGTCGGCCAACATCTGGGAGCTGCATGTGAGTTCCTGGTTGTCTTAGTTAGGGCTTCTGCTGCTGTGAAGAGACACCATGAGTACAGCAACTCCTATAAACGAAAACATTTTATTGGGGTCGGCTTACAATTCAGAGGCTTAGTCCATTATCATCCTGGCAGAAAGTATGGCAGCATGCAGGCAGACACGGTACTAGAAAGGTAGCTGAGAGTTCTACATCCTGATCATCAGGCAGCAGGGAGAGAGATGCTGGGCCTGGTTTGAGCATCTGAGACCTTAAAGCCCACTCCCAGTGACATGCTTACTCCAACAAGGCCACACCTCCTAATAGTTTCTCTCCTTATGATCTTATGGGGGTCATTTATATTGAAACCACCACACTGTTTTTTCACAAAGACTATTTTTCTTACACAGAGACTAATTTTGTCTTCTCGGTCGGCAGATGCTGTTCCCCAAACTGTCAGCAGTGTACCTTCTAGAGAAGCTGCAACGGTGGCACAGACACACGAGCCCGGCCATGAAACAGTCAGGGCATCGGTGACGCCTGTGCTGAGGCTAGAACAGAGCTGTGGACAACCTGACTCCTCAAGCTCAGACGACCAAAGTTCAGAATCCAGCGACACTGGTACCCGTAAGTGATGCTGCCTATTCTTTCCCACTGGTGGATTTGCCTTTATGGTGACTGAAAGTAAACCTCTCCTGTGTGTGCTGTGGGCAGAGACACGTTGGCAGGATCCTTAGATGTGTGTTTCCCTTTACATTTATTATGATTTATTTATGCATCGACATTGCATCAGGTACTATTCTTTCAGTGACTTGAAGCAACAGGGCATGCAAACAGTCACAAAAACTAGAAGGAAACAAGTCAGCATGGTGCTGTACGCCTGTGCTCCCAATACCCGGAAGGCAGAAGCAGGATGGTCAGAAGTTCGAGGCTGGCTTTTGCTGTTAGCAGACTCAAGGCTAGCCTGGTCTGCATGATACCCTATGTCAAAACTAAATTTATAAAGAAAATAATTTTTCAGTGTGACTAGAATTTTAGAGGAGTAGACTAAACTTCACCAAATAAGTATTTTGGGTGGAGATGGAGTGTTTGGTGCCAAGTGTAATTATCATGATAAAGGCTACGGTCTGTATTTTGTGGGTGTGTGCATGCATGTGTGCATGTGTGCGTGTGTGTGTGTGTGCAGGTATGTAATCTTCAGGTTGAGAAAACAGCAGTTATTAAAGCCACATTCCTCTGTTTGAGCTCCTCCCCCTTGCCTTGTGATGCACTAGGTTTCCACAGTTTTTCGTTCTATGAGTTGAAGAGCATCACCAATGACTTCGATGAGCGACCTGCTTCTGTCGGCGGCAGCAGAATGGGAGAGGGAGGCTTCGGAGTGGTATACAAAGGCCACATGAAGGATACAGTTGTGGCGGTGAAGAAGCTGGGAGCGGTAAGGTGTGCTCCCTCCTCCTGTCAGGGCAGGTGAAGAAGCTGGGAGCGGTAAGCTGTGTTCCCTCCTCCTGTCAGGGCAGGCCGTTGGTCAGCCTTCATGTAAGAATCCATTGAGGACTGTGGAGCCTCCTCTAGAAAAGTGCTTACGGACCCAGACATAGAACCATGTTCGTAATCATGATAGAGTCACAAAAATAACTTAAGAAACTTTGTATCACAATGCTTCATAGTTAATCTAGATTCAAGATAAGATACTAAGAAAATGTTATCTGGGTACCTTTGAATAACCTGTCCCATTGAAAAATACCATTTAGGTGCCAGTGAGATAGCCCAATAGCTAGAGGTCCTTTGTTAAGCCGTGGGAGTCATGCAGAGATGCGGGACAGGTTATCAAGTCTACTACACCAGAAGCAAACTTTATTCCAGGTTAAAAAATTAAAAATTAAAAGAATAAATCTCCATGGGGCACAAAAAGCTGAGACCACAGCTAGAGATGGGCTTGTGTGAGTGTGGCAATGGGCTGTTTCCCAACTCCCCGTTTTATAGCAAGAAGCAAGCATTAAGCACAAACAAAAGAATTTTTACAAGGTAAAACTCAGATACAAATTGCCCTTCTTTACCATTTCCATTAACAGAGGTTTTTTTTGTTTGTTTGTTGTGTGTTGTTACACTAGTGTCTGTATCTAAGCCGTTCTCCCTGGCTGTTCCTGACAGTGTTTACCAAAGCTCTGCACTTCTTCTGCTACTGCCAGTTTAGCATAGCAGGGACAACACATAACCACACAGTCACATACAACCCATCCTTTTTTAAAATCTATTTATTAAAAATTTCCACCTCCTCCCCACCTCCCATTTCCCTCCCACTTCCCCCACCCCCACTCCCCCTCCCTCTCCAGTCCTAAGAAAAGTCAGGGTTCCGTGCACCGTGCACCGTGGGAAGTCCAAGGTCCTCCCCGCTCCATCCAGGTCTAGGAAGGTGAGCATCCAAACAAACCAGGCTCCCACAAAGCCAGTCCATGCAGTAGAATCAAAACCCAGTGCCACTGTCCTTGGCTTCTCAGTCAGCCCTCTTTGACAGCCACATTCAGAGAGTCCGGTTTGATCACATGCTCCACCAGTCCCAGTCCAGCTGGCCTTGGTGAGCTCCCATTAGATCAGTCCCACCATCTCAGTGGGTGACGCACCCATCGCGGTTCTGACTTCCTTGCTCATGTTCTCCCTCCTTCTGCTCCTCATTTGGACCTTGGGAGCTCAGTCCAGTGTTCCAATGTGGGTCTCTGTCTCTATCTCCATCCATCACCAGATGAAGGTTCTATGGTGATATGCAAGATATTCATCAGTGTGGCTATGGCACAAGGTCAGTTCAGGCACCCTCTCCTCTGCTGCCCAAGGAACAATCTGGGGACCTCTCCTTAGACCTGGGAACCCCTCTAGAGTCAAGTCTCTTGCCAACCCTGAAATGGCTCCCTTAATTAAGATATCTACTTCCCTGCTCCCATATCCACCCTTCCTCCACCCTAACCATCCCATTCCCCCAAGCTCTCCCCAATCCTCCCTTTCTCCCTTCTCCCTCCCCATCTCCCCTTACACCTACTCCACCTCCACCCCCGTGCACCCAACTTTTGCCTGGCAATCTTGTCTACTTCCAATATCCAGGAGGATAACTACATGATTTTCTTCAACCCATCCTTTAAAGGTTAACTCAGCTCACATCTGTTGCTGGTCATGAGCAGCCAGGGAGTTATCTAAAAGCTGACCCTCAGTTTACAGAGGGCCGCTTCAGCCTTGCAGACAGAGCTACAAGTTATAAAGCAAAGTAACCCACTGTTAATAGTTAATCCTTAAACTGCTAAAAAAGCTGCTAACCTCCACATGTTCACTGTGGCATGTGCTAAATGTAATTTTAAAAATTATACACACACCACACACATATTTGAAACAGGGTTTCTCTGTGAATTCCTGGCTCTCCTGGAATTCGCTGTGTAGAACAGACTAGCTCCAAACTCACAGAGATTCATCTACCTCTGCCTCCCAAGTGCTGGGATTAGAGGCATGTGCCTCCACGCCCAGGGGAGAAACATTAATGCACATTATGAAAAAGGAATTTCCTTCCCTGTCCTTTGTTCCTACTTCTGTAAGGGTTTCTTACCTTTAATTATTGATTAATTATATTATCAATCTGTCATATCTTTAAAACGCCAATATCCTGTGTGTGTGTGTCTAACACAGGCTTCCCTTGTCATTGATATTACAGGTGCTTCCATAGGCTTTGCCTCTCTTTTCTACTCACATTTGCTTCCACGTTGTTACACAGAATTCTTTTTTAAAACTACCGTGTGGTGAAGTTTTATGTTTCATTTTGTTCCTACCACAACCTAAAAAGGTTTATATATTTTTCCTTTCTCTAAAACAACATGGGCCTAGGGTAAAGCACTTGTATTTCTAGATGTCAATAATTCTCTAAAACAAATAGAAAAAGACTCTGTGGTGAACAGGTGTATCCCTGTATTAGTGAGCATTCATGACATGAGAATGGCCAGGTCAAAGACCTCAGTGCCTCGGGCTCGTGGGAATGGAAGGGTGTGGCGCGCCCCTTGACCAGCAAGGAAGAACGACCACGAACTCGAGGATTCTTCTCAAATCACACTTTATTGGAGCCTCTTGGTTGAAGGGAGAGCGGGAAGCGAGAGAGAGCGCGCGCGAAAACCAAGCGGCAGCTGCTTCTATAGGGTGGAGGGACTCGGATACTGTCCTGATTGGTGAATACCATTCTGCTGGTGTCCGGGGCCTCGGGATTGGCTAGGGACAAGGCTCAATTATGCAAATGTGGGCAAAGGGCGCTCAGCCCCACGTGGCAACATCAAAGGGACTTGTTTACCTCCAAGCTGCAGGATCACCTGTGCCATCTTAGAATGGCGATTTCTCCAGGTGGCTCCCTACAGAAGGGCAAGGCCTTTCTCTGGTCTGAGTATCAGTGTTGACCAGTGGTTGGCCTTCAGCTAAAGCCAGTACAAGTAAAGACCTCAGCCTCTGCTTCCTCAGCCCAGGTGACTGCCGCCTGAGGCTGCTCCCGTACAGAGAACCCCCTAGGATGTGCTGTGCCTAATAAACACACTGAGTTTCTGGATTGCTGGTGTGGCTCTGTCTCACCAAGTGGACCGCTTGATCCCAGCTTTGTGTTACTTATGTCTATCTGTCTGTCTGTCTTAGTCTCCTGTGGCTCCCTGTCAGATTGCTTAGGACCCAGCTGTGCAGACGATAGCAAGACATTATTTTTTTATTCATTTTACTGTACTGTTATTGAACCCAGCGCCTTGTATACGTTAGGCTAGTACTTTACCCCTGGAGCTACGCCCCATCCCTCTTCATGTCTCACTTGGAGCAAAGGTCAAGCTGGCTAGGCCATCCTTGAACCCCTCTGGAAGCCAGGCAGACCCTGAACTTGACGTTCTCTGACCTCAGCCTCCCAGATATCTGGGACCACAACCCTGCGTCACCAGATTTGGTTTACCACATGATTTTAAAGTAGGTAAATCAGCAGGGGACTCTTTCTTAACCCTCCTTCCACCTCTAGGAGCCACAAGGTTGCTGTATTGTGTTACAAAATATATTTTTATCTTTCTAGATGGTTGAAATCAGTACTGAGGAACTAAAGCAACAGTTTGATCAAGAAATTAAAGTAATGGCAAAGTAAGTGTTGACTTGCCACTGTGGCTTGGGGCATGACATGGGGCAAGGAGACCTGGTTTCGTGCAGATTCGGGTGTGTAAAGATGCGGGGTTGAGGCCAACATTATTCATTCTCTGATTATGTGATTGCATATACTCATATGCCAGCAGATTAAAAGCGGTCGGTGTTTTACATCACAGCAAAGTTACAGAGGATTCGAAGAGTTTTCTATTATCAGGTGTTCTAGAATTCCTGACAAAATCAGTTGTAGTGACAAAAAAAAAAACCCAACTATTTATAAATCCAAGAATGATGGTGCACTCCTGTAATCCCCGTACTTGGGAGGTTGACATAGGAGGATTGTGAATTCTAGGACAGCCTGTACAACGTTGCAAGTTCCAAGACAGCCAGAGCTATAAAGGCAGACTCTGCCTCAGCAATAAATAAATAAAAACAGAAACTACTTCTAAAATAACAGACCCTCAGAGAAGCTAAAATTCAGAGGAAACTAAGGAAATACTATATACAAAGATGTTGAGAATATATTGATGTAGAATGTCGGAAATTATTGGGCTCCATAAGAAAGGAGACGAGAACCAAATCAGAAAATGAAATAATTACAGCAACTGGTACTTGAGTCTATATAGTATGCTAGTCACTGCACTGTCTGCTTTAAGTTCGTGGACTCATTTAATTCTGAGAACAATGAGTACAACCCCCTTTATGAGAAAGAAAGAAAGAAAGAAAGAAAGAAAGAAAGAAAGAAAGAAAGAAAGAAAGAAAGAAAGGAAGGAAGGAAGAAAGAAAGGCCAAGGTTTAGCAGTACAAAATAATTTACCCAAAGTTACATCGTCAGCAAATATTAGAGATGACTTCTGGTCCAAATATAGCTAATTCCAGAGCTCTTGATCTGAATCCTAAGGAGGTTATTGAACAATCGCCATGAGGCCATCACTATCCATCACCCACTCCGTTGTTGGCCTCATAAAATAGTTAACAGACCGAGGTTAGTTTATGTGCAGTAAAAATGGCGCACGTGGAAACCCCTGTCAATACTCTCTCCGGACTTGATCTCCTCATCTCTTCCTCCATTGTCGGTTCTGCCACTAACTTGAGGCCCAGGTGGTGAAATGTCTGCCATGAGCAAGGCTCTGGGCTTCATCACCAGCACCTGAAACGGCACGTGGTGTCACACACTTGTCCCCATGTCGATTTGCCAGCCTCTCGGGTTACGGTTCTTAAGTGGCTCTTTCTGCACCTTGCTATCAGAATGACCAATCCAAATGTCTTACCTCTGTCCACTGGGGCGTGAAATGGTAACATTGTGCAGGTCAGTGAAACAAAACAGGTGAGCCACCACCTGCTTTAGAGACAGGAGAAATGTGATAAACGTTATCTAGTTGTATTTAAAATGTACAAATTTGGGGGAAATGGAGAATTTATCGAATCAGCTTACACTTCTCAGATTACGTCTGAGAGTAGAAGTCTGATTTTATTCTAGGGTATGCAGAATTATAGACGACATGGAACGAGCAAAATGAGTAATGCCTGAGAGGAGTGTCTCTCGTGCCGTGCGTGCTTCAGGCTAGCCCAGCTCTTCATTGACGCCCACAGCATCCGTGGGGCGCGGCCCTGTCACACCAGCGCCATGTTCTGTGTGCAGGGAAGGACTGAGGCTGAGGTTGCCAGCACGCCTTGTGTCAGACCCAGGAGGTGGCAGGACTGTGCTTTCAGCTGAGGCCTGTGGCCTTGTTATCCTGTGGCTTTTGTAGTCATGTCTGTCAAGTGTAACAGAGAACTCAGAATGTAGACAAGTATGTGATGGAAGACTGTAAGCCTGACAGGAAGACGCGGCTAACGACGCTCCTGGAAAGCAGTGCCTTGGGTGTGTTACAGCCGTGTTGTGTTAGGGATTTGTCCGTGCTCTAAAGTTTCCAGATCTCGAAAAAGGCGCTGAGCAAAGATGTGCATCAGCCTCGTCCTGAGCTAACCTGTCTCAGGTTCTGTTGATCTGATCAAAGGTGGCTACAGAATCGGGAGAGGTTCGCTTCTGCTGTGGATCAGTATTACTGAAACAAGAACCATTTACAGAAAAGAATCTGCAATTTCAGTGAGCCTGTTAGCATGTTATGAACACCTGTCACATTACATATGGCATGTATATTACATATTACATACACATATTTATGCAATTATCTCTTTGATCTTTCTGCTAAAACTCTTAGCTTGAGTAACCCCTAGAAATATCCAGTCTAATAATTTTGCACTCTCCCTCACCTGTGCAGGTGTCAACATGAAAACCTGGTAGAGCTCCTTGGCTTCTCAAGCGACAGCGACAACCTGTGCTTAGTATACGCTTACATGCCCAATGGCTCCTTGCTAGACAGACTGTCCTGCTTGGTAAGACGCCTGTCACCAGACTGCCTCACTTCCCGTTTTTATGTCATATTGCTAATGTTCGCATGTGGCCGGGTTCACTGACACCACACTGAACTTACTGTTTCCCTGTTCTGTAAAATGATGCAGTTTATGTGTTGACAGGTGTTGCAAATTTAAAACGCAAAGGCATCGGTAAAGGCCAGATGTTGACGATGTTCTTGTGTATTTTTATTTTTTAAGTGCGGAGTGCAGACTCCACTTAATCTTATATGAGATTATTTTTTTTGCAAGCTTTAAAAATTGTAATCCTAAATTCTTAGTGATATGGTTAGTGATACAAAAATGACTATAGAGAATACCAGTATGGGTTTTCTTTGGACTTTTTTTTTTTCACCTAAACCATTGTTTAAACTCTGTTTGTTTCTTCACAAGGATGGCACTCCACCACTTTCTTGGCACACGAGATGCAAGATTGCTCAGGGTGCAGCTAATGGCATCAGTTTTCTCCATGAAAATAACCATATTCATAGGGATATCAAAAGGTAAGTCTGCTGTGAAGAAACTCCGAAAGCCATCTTTAAAGAATCATTTTCTTGCCCTTTTCATTCAGTCTTTGCGTGTGTGTCTTAACGGGTGAGGCGAGACTCTTCCCGTCCCTGGAAAGCCCTTTGCACTCCACACACCTGTCACCTCCCTGGTTTCAAGCCTTCTGACCTGCTTCCCTGGGGAGATGAGGGTTTTCTGGGCTCTCGGATCACTGGTCTCTCCTGAACCACCTTCATCTCCGTGGATATTCTTCAGTCCTCTCCACTCTTACGTTATTTACCGTGTTAGACATCTACTTACTGCATGCTAGACTTCGTACATGGTATGGTTAGCAGATACAGCTCGAAGCGGAGTTCACCATCAATCAGATAATCACAACCTAATAGAGTTTTCATGTTTATTAGTGTTCGGGGTTTGTGTAAAGAAGGATTTTGAAGGAAATGGTGTTAAAGCAGAGGCCTGAACAATGAACAGGAAACAAGGAAGCACGGTTTGAGGGTAGCTGTGTAGTCGATGGTGAAAACATTCTAGAGAACACAAGCCTATAAGATGGATATTAGCAGGGAATTTGAGGGGGCTGGAGAGATGACTCAGTGGTTAGGAGATCAGCGATTAAGCCACTCTTCCAGAAGTCCCGAGTTCAATTTCCAGCAACTGCATCTCTAAGGGGATCTGGTGCCCTCTTCTGGCATAAAGGTGTACGTGCAGATAGCACTTAGGAATAAAAATAAATGAGAGAGAGACCATGAGTTGCAGGAAGTAAATGATTACAGTATGACTGGTGTGCAGAAAGTAAGGGGTAGAAGTCATGAGAGGGAACTAAATAGATGAGCAGGGTTTGATCATAACTGTGATGAGATGCTGTTAAATACACAAAACTACAGCAGTGGCTGTCAGTCTTCCCATTGCTGTGACTCTTTAGTACAGTGCCTCAGGTTGTGGTGACCCCCACTATAAAATTATTTTTTGCTACTTCATAACTAGTTATGAATCATAATGTAAACCTCCGATATCTGACAGTAACCCCTGTGAAAGGGTTGCCCGACCCCAAAGAGGACAGGAGAACTGCTGGACGACAGTATCATATTCAAGTTTTGTGAACCACTTTGAGTCGAGCGTAGAGAGTGGTTTAAAACCAGGAGAAATTAAGAGATTGCTGTGGGCATCTTGGTAGACACAGCTCATGTGAGCAGAAGTGAACAGATGCAAGGGGTTAGTGTGGCAAGACATGTTTGCATCTTAGCTGTAGAGGGCCAGGAAGAGGGGAGAATCAGTTACAGCCTTGGAACTTACAGCATCCACAGTTGCACGCTGGAATAATTGGGATGTGACTCACTTATGTAGAAAGAACAGGGGAAGAGGTTCCAGTTTCGGGGGAGGGGCTTTGAGAAAGGTATACATTCAGTGTTTGAAGTTTTTTTTTTTTTAAGAGATGGAAGTAGAGAGGCTAAGTGGACAGTATGACACATAGATTTGTCGGCAGAAGTCTGAGCAGAAGATATAAATGTGTATAGCACTTGCATGAATGTGATGCTTGAAGAGTTATCATTTAATTATTGAAAGACATGGCATAAGAGCCCAGGACTAAATCCCAAGGACCCCTAAAATGTAATGACCAAGTAAAAGGGAACAGTCCCCAAAAGACATCTAATAAACAATATATACATATGGGTGGATGAAACTCTATTCATAGACCTGCACCTCCCTTATGTTTTCATCTCCCTTCAAGATAGAGAAAAGAAAGGAAAGCAGTGATCTCTCTCTTGCTGTCATCTAACTGACTGATTTAAACACATTCCAGTCTCCTATGCTGCATCTATAAAATGACACACATTGTAATATATATATATATGTATATATATATATATATATATGCGCGCAGATGTACACATATACCTCTAAGAACCTACTTGACCTTGTAGGCAAGAAAAGTTTTCTTCCTTCAAATTTAAATTTTTTTTTCCAGCACAAATATTCTACTAGACGAAGACTTTACTGCCAAAATATCTGACTTTGGGCTTGCACGGGCTTCTGCAAAGTTTGCCCAGACAGTCATGACCAGTCGAATCGTGGGCACAACGGCTTACATGGCCCCTGAAGCTTTGCGAGGAGAAATAACGCCCAAATCGGACATCTACAGCTTTGGCGTGGTACGTGATCATTCTCTTTATTGTTTTTCTTTTATTTCTTTATAGTGTGTGTGCACGCACATGGCACAACGTGCACATGCCAAGAGCCAGAGGGCAGCTTGCAGGAGCCAGTTCACTCCTTCCACCATCTTGGTTCCAAGGGAATCAGACTCAGGCTGTCGGGCTTGGCGGCAAGTGCCTTTAATTGCTAAGTCCTCATAACGAAAGGACCCGGAGTTCCCAGAACACATGTGCAGTACAACTTTTTGATATCGACGTCCTCAGGCTCTATTCAGGAATTTCTAGGTAGATTTCTGTCAGCATCCACGCTCCATGACAGTGGTTAGCACAACAAGAAAGTCTTGCTCTGAGTGTTCAAGTCCCTGGGCTCATCCATTTTCCTTCTGACTCTCACTTGATGTCTCCAGTGTTTTGCTCTTTTTGTCTCCCTAGGTTTTATTAGAGCTAATCACCGGACTCGCGGCTGTGGATGAAAACCGAGAACCTCAATTACTAGTAACTAATTCATTTTTATCAGTCTTTTCCTCTCTTGCCTTTGTGGTCTTAAGTTCATGTGTGTAAATATGGCATGTAGAAATGCCCTTTCTGACTATGTATGATGTTTCTGACTATGTGTTGCTGGGATGTAATTGTGAAGCCTAAAGAGATTGTTTATATAGTCTTTGTTCAATGAGAAGAAAGCCACTTCACCTATGACTTATTACTTTCTAGGGTATCCAAAGCCTGGGTGGCAAAATCATTTTCATATCATAGGAAAAAAAATTATAGTTTTCATTCATATCTGCGTAAGAGTATAAATGTAAAGATACATACATATATGTATGTATGTATCTTTACATATATCTTTAGACATATTTATAAAGGAATATATATGTGATACTTATATAGATGAACATATATATGCGTGCCTTTGTATATATCTCTAAAGATATATATATATTATTTATAAATGTTTTCTAAATTTTTTAACAACTATACTCCTTTTATCCTAATTTATTTATATGCCGTACTGGTACAAACTATTCAGACAATAGATATTTATTAGATCATGTACCAGAATTAGGATCAGACGATCAGAAGGTGTAACTTACTTGTTCCATCTTGATGCCAGGACTGGAGAGATGGCACAGCAATCAAAAGGTCACACTCTTTTTCCAGAGGGCCAAGTTTAGTTCCCAGCACCCATGTTAGGTGTCTGACAACTGCTTGTTACCCTAGCTCCAGGTCTGAGGCCTCTCACCTTCACGGGTACCTGCATACTTGTACACATAGCCACATACAAAAACACATGCATATGGATAATTAAAATAGGACTTTGTCAAAGGACAGCAAAAGTCTTAGTGGCAATACTAATTTGAGAAAACTGTAGTGTGTGAGATTGTTACAAATGTCCACCGTAAAACAGAAATGTCCATGGTCTGTTGGAAATGCAATATTAAAAGAGTATATGAAGTATATTTACATTAGAAGATATTTATGAGGATAGTCTAATGGTATTCAGAATTTTATAATGGCAAATTAAAAAAAATTATGTTAACTAGAAATATAAAGTTTTCTGTCCCATCAGTTACAGGAGATCAAGAGAGAAGCCTGAACTGGAGAGGCCCTATTTAAGCTGTTACTATATGGACGTAGATAAAGTTCGGGGCAGGGGTTGAATTAAAAACATAATCTGTGCACAAGCATGTGCACACAAACTTTTAAAAAAATACAGCAGACTTCCCCATACACTTCACTTGAGTGTATCCCAGGTCTCAGAAATGGGACTGCTGTATGCTCTTCTTTAAAAGGATCTTTATTTTTTTCGTTAATTTTCTTCATACAATAAAGAAATAAACATGAGAAAAAGGGAGGCCAGGAAGATGTTCAGCATATAAAGGTGCCGCCACCTAGCCTGACCTGCGACCTGGCTCCTTCAAGCATCCTCTGACCTCCACCTCCCACAATAAATAAATCAATGGAAAAATGATTTCTTATAGGAGGGGTTAGCAGTGTAGGTTGGTGCTGGTGGGGAGAACTCTTGCCTAGCTGGCACAGGGCCTTGAACTGGATCCCTAAAACCAGAAAAACAAGACAAACAAAGCCCCAGAGGGCCAGAGAAGAGATAAGGGACTAGGGGTGACGACCTGTGCTTCCCCAGCTTCAGCTTCTGACATAAAGACCTCTCGGGGTCTGCTACCAAGATCCTCCTCCCCTTCAGTAAAAGGTGTAAAAGTCACCACTTTGGTTTGAGTAGAAATGAAACACAGGATCTCTGTGAGTCACAAGTTTGCACTGTGTCATTTAACAGTGAAAGTGTAAACATCGGGGAACAGTACACTCTGGAGTGCGGTACGCCTGGGAGGTCCTAAGACTGTGATGTCGGTGCTTGTGATCTGTCTCTCAGTGGGCCTTCTTCCCACTGCTGTGTGGTCTCACAGTCCATCTTTTGCAAGGGTTTTGGAATGCTATGTTCTACTCCTCACTCGTAATCCTTCCTTTCAATATAAATTTATTTGAGCTACTACAAAATATAGTAAAATATACTACAAAATATAGATAAGATAAACCAGGTATCTTAAAGTGACAGAAAGATAGCCCCTCAGTACAGCCAGAAGTCTGAAGTCAAGTTTTGAGAAGTCCATGAGTCCCTCCTGAGAGTCCAGGGAGACTCTTCCTGCCTCTCCCAGGTTCTGGTGGCTTCTGGTACCTTCGGCTTATAGCCCTGTCACTACCGTCTCTGCTGATGGTGGTGGCATTTTCCTCTTGATTTTTTTCTTTTTGTCTCGTATATATACACTTGTCATTGAAGTTAGAGCTTTCCTGGGTAACTCAGGATTTACTTACTGTTTTATTGCTGTGATAAAACACCAACCCACCCACGCGTGTAGAAGAAAGGGTATATTGGTGCTTATGGTTCCAAAGTCTCTTACAGGGAGATATAGTAACAAGTGGCTGGCATGACAGCAGGAGCAGGAAGCTTGCAGCTCATATCTTAAACCACAAGCTCAAATCAGAGTGAACTTGTGGTTTGAGAACTTAAGGCCTTAAAGCCCATCCCCGCCCCACTGCAAGTGATAAACCTCCCCCGAAGGCTTCACCTGCCAAGCCTGCCCAAACAGCACCACCAACAGAGGACCAGTGAGCCTATAGTGAACATTCCATCCAAACCACTAAACCCAAGATTGCCCTCTCATTGCAGATGTCTACAGATATCGTTTTTTCACGTGAGGTCATGTTTACAGACCCCAGGAGCCAGGACATAGACATACATACATACATACATACATGCTTCCGGGGCCACCACTCATCTGACTGTTCAGCCCACAGCACCGCCTCCTCCTCCTCCATCGCCCAGTCTCCGAGTCCTTCTTTCTCTTTTCGTTCATCATTCTCAGTTCCCATGAATAAGCCCAGGGTGTCTAAATCTAGCAGGCGAAACTGTATTCTCAGAAATGATCAGGAAGCTGATGCTCCTGAACTGGCAGATGCTGCCAATAGGAATGCGAGCTGTTGGCTCATCACAGAAAGACGAGAATTATAAAGCAGATGGGTAGGAGTGGACGGGAATAAGACGAGTAAATCAGCGATGTGTGTACGTTTCCTGATCTAACGTCCACCCTGTATGGCTTCAATTCCTAAGGAGGTTATGAAAAAAATAGGAAAATGAGTTCAGGTTTTTACAAAAATAGACGAATTTAAATCACTTAAATTTGTGTTCTGGTTTCTTTCACTTTGAAGCTTTTGACCAACTTTCCATGCTCATTCTATAGCTGGACATTAAAGAGGAGATCGAGGATGAAGAGAAGACGATCGGGGATTACACCGACGAGAAGATGGATGATGCGGACCCCGCGTCCATTGAAGCGATGTATGCTGCAGCTAGCCAGTGTCTGCACGAAAAGAAGAACAAGAGGCCGGACATCGCGAAGGTACCCTCTTATATCCACAGGCAGTGAGGGCTGCGGGCCGTTAGCCTTTACCAAGTGTGTGTTTCGAGGCGTCTGCCTAATGTTCTTTTGTTCTTTCTTTCTTTTTAAAGGTTCAACAATTGCTGCAAGAGATGCCTGCTAAGAACGAGTGAAATAGGCTATATATAATCTATATATAATACACTCTATAAGCACTCACCCCTCGCCTTTGTTTTTTAACGTCTTGTGGTCCTGAAGACTGAACAAGCACCCTGGCACTGAGCTACATCACCAGCCTGTTTTTTTGGTTTTGTTTTCCTAAATGGTCTTTATGTTTAACACGGCGGCATGGTGCACTGTACTGAGTGATTAACAGATGTGTTGACGCACTGCCAGAATGACTGCAGCATGGCGGCACTTGGCTTCACCTCCTTTGTATGGAGATCATTTTCCACGGCAATACCATCAAATTACAGCAACTACAAGATTCAGGAAAACAGCACGGCACTGGGGAGACCCTAGGGTTTGGGGTTTTGTTGTTGTTGTTGGCCGAGATGTCCTGATACTCTCTCTGTATATAGACCAGGCTAGTCTTGAACTCAGAAGTCTACCAGCCTCTACCTACTCTGCCTGTGCCACCACCATATAGCCAGAGATCCTGGTTTGAAGCCCAGCAGACTCCGCTAATCTCAAGTAAAGCCCTGGTCCAGCTCTCAGTTACTGTAAACCTCAGATTTGGCTTTTCTTTTTTGTTAATAAACTCTGTGCTCCTGTAAATAACTCTTCCTATGCTCCTGGTACGTAACCTCCACCTGTACATAACCTCCACGGCTCCTCCCCACCACTCCTCCAATACGTAACCCCCACACCTCCTCCTGTACGTTACCCCCACCACTGCTCCTGTAACCCTAATTAAACTCATTGGGTCACCAAGGTAGACATGGGTGGACTCAATCATTCAGTCTGTCACTGATATCCTAGTTTGAGTGAATAGATGTTTGCTTGTCTCCCCCAAGAAAAATTCACACACTTAGTACTTTGTGTGGGGCATAACAGAACCAGTGACCAGCTTACGGGTAGTACTTGCATTGTCTCTGCTATGTGCAATAAGACAGCAGCTGGAGCTGATCTGTCTGAGGGTGGAGCACCCACCCAAGGGGATGTCATCCCTTCCCATGTAGTAGGAATGGCAGGCTCTCTTGCTGCGCTGGGTGGTTCTATGTGTCAACTTGACACAAGCTAGAGTCTTCAGAGAGGAGGAGCCAGCCCAAGGTGGGTGGTGCCATCCCTGGGTTGCTGGTTCTGTGTTCTATAAAAAGGTGAGCTAAGCAAGCCAGAAGAAGCAAGCGGGTCAGCAGCACTTCTCCACGGCCTCTGCATCAGCTTCCGCCTCCGGGTTCCAGCCCCGCGTGAGTTCCTGTCCTGACTTCCTTCAGCGATGAACAGAAATGCTGACTTGTGAGCCAGATAAACCCTTTTCTTCCCGACTTGCTTTCTGGTTTTCTGGTGTTTCTTGCTTTTCTAGTGTTTCGTCAAAGCAATGGAAACCCTAACGAAGACACTTGCTGTAGTGATGGCTGCATTGCCTTGGGTGAAAAGATATGTAAACAAGACAGCAGTGGTCCACCTGCAGGCGGAGTCTTTGTGAGGAAAGTTCCAGAGAGGCCATCTTCCTCTGTCAGTATGCAATGGCATGCCTCCCTGATGAGTGGAATCATCGGCCATTTCATACTACAATGAGAAAAAGGTGCAGATTCCGACCTCTGCATTATTCTTTGAGTTGCACATAAAATGAAAGAAAAAAATGAGACCAGGGCAGATGCCCTTTAATGCCAGGACTTGGGAGGTAGAGCTAGGCAGTCTCTGTGAGTTTGACACCAACTAGAGCTAGACTGTATCTCTCTCTCTCTCTCTCTCTCTCTCTCTCTCTCTGTCTCCCTCCTTCCCTCCCTCCCTCCCTCTCTTTCCCCCAAGAAAGTGGTATGACAATGAAATATGATAAAAAAAAATTTCTATATTCCAAGGGACTGGAGCTTTTGCTGGACCTCACAGCCAGTTAGTAAAATTCCTTGCGGTCACTTAAGGCTGATCTCCGACTGTGTACCTTAAATGCTTAACCTGCATTTAAGAGAACAGTGTAACAATCAACCTTATTTGCCTTTGATTCCCATATAGTCTACTTTTACAACCAAAGCAACGAATAGCTGTAATCTTGAGTTATCTAGTATTCTGTGTCCCTGACCTGGGAGCAATACATGTATGTTTTGTTCGTTTGTATTGTGGTAATCATTTGCTGAAAACAGCAAATATATATTGAAAGCAGTCTTTTGAAAGTGGTCTTATAAAAATGAATATCCATAATCATTGAAGACAACATATGAGTATTGTTTGATAAACAATGATATGTGTAAAACTGTTTGTTATCTGGGTCAGTTGGGGTCAGCTGGAGTAAGTGACTTGATTCCTTGTGTTGCTCATTCCCAACTGCCGAGACCGGAAATAATCACTCAGAAACTATATTATTTAAATCACTGCTTGGCCAATCACTTAAGCATATTGCTAGCAAGTTCTTACATCTAGTATTAACCTATTTCCATTATTTTATGTTTTACCACAAGCCTTGTGGCCCACCAGCAAGGTTCTAGCTGGCGGCTTCATGATGTCTCTCTGACTCCACCTACTCTCTCTCCCTCTCTCTCTCTCTCTATATATATATAGATATATATCCCTTCCAGCCTGGCTATGCTCTATTAAGCCATTGGCTGAGAGCAATTTCTTTATTCATTAGCTAATAGAAGCAACACATATACAGAAGGACTTCCCACACCGCCCTTGTAAAAAATAAACTGTTAAAGATTTCTGTAAAGTGTCCCCCATTCCTTCCCTGTGTAATACTCTCTGTGCTATTCAGCCCTTTGTTAGGAATAGCCACATAAACACACACAGATATACAGCCGTAGAAAAGGGACAGGTTCACAAGACGGCATTTAGACAGACACAGATTCAGACTCAGACAACAGACAGACAGGGACGACGAAGACACAGGAGAGCCAAATCGAGAATTCAGAGCTGGGCTCACTGTTGGTTAAATGACACCAAAGAGAAGTGCTGCATCGATTTCTGTCCTTTATACAACACCAACATACTGTTGGTAATTGCGTTTATTAATGCATTCAAGCTGATGCGAGATGGGCTGCTAGCTTGCCATTTCCTACGGCGGGCTTGAAAGAAAGTACAAATTGCATGAATGCCGAATAGTCTTCTCTGTGATCTCCACTCTTGGAATCCATGAAGAGAATTTGTCAATGAGAAGGAGGAAGTAATGGGAAATAACCCTCATGCGTGATCTTTAATACAGAGGAAGGAAAACCCTCAATGGTGTACAGGGGCCTAAATAACGACCCAGTGTGATAATCATGGAATATTGTGCCATTGAACTGTTTGAATTGGAGGAAATTTTTACATGATAAATTAGCTCTTAAAGTTGTAGGAAAAGAGAGTACATGGAATCAACCTAGTGTTGTGGAAACAGAAGAACTAATATAACCACACAACCCTGCTTTAAGACAATAGTTATTCGATCTATAGGGGTTTGAATAGGTAGGACCTGCGTAAACTGGTGCATTTGAATGCTTGGCCCATAGGGAGTGGCACTACTAGGAGGTGTGGCCTTGTTAAAGTAGATATGGCTTTATTAGAGGAAATGTACCACTGTGGGGTAGGCTTTGAAGCTTCATATGCTCAAGCTACGCAAGTGTAGCACACAGTCTCCTGCTGCCTGCGGGTCAAGTTGTAGAACTCTCAGCTCCTTCTCTAGCACCATGTCCGCCTGAATGCCTCCCTGCTTCTCACCGTGATACCACCATGGACTAAACTTTTGAAGTGTCAGCTAGCCCCACTAAGCATTTTCCTTTATAAGGGCTGCTGTGGTCATGGTGTCTCTGCACAGCAATAGAAACCCTAACTGAGACATAATCCAAGACAATATGAAGGAAATCACTTTCTGGTGGGTGGCTCATAGGAGCTATCATAGATACCTAGCTTTCTCCAGTTGGGGGTCCCCTGACGATTATGAACTGGAGGACAATAGAGGAAGGACAGCTATGGAAATAATCAAGCCTGAGAAAGGCAGTGTTGCATGCCCAGCCCATTGGATCGGATAGGACCAGGAGATTTAACAGAGGTTGATTCAGCATTTACCTTGGGACTAGTACAGTCTCTAATGGCTCCCATGAGCACATTGTGGCATGTGTCCTTTATTAGGAAAAAGCGCCCCTGGCAAGTCTGAATGGTATAGACTGATATGTGAACAAGCTCATAAACTAATAAAGCAATTAAGAGGGATGATTAAAAGAAATCAGACAAAGGGATCTGTGTGGGAACTGGAAAGCAAATTTGAGGCCAGATTAGTGTCAAGACAAAGTTCCTAAGGAAAAAATGATAGTAAAATTCAGTAGAGCCTCTGGAAGGCTTTAAGGCCTGAAACAAAAGCTTAATTAATATATAAATGTCAGCAATGTAAATGAAAAAGACTGTTTGACCCCAGGATGGGAATTAGACATCCACCCACAACCAGAACAAGCTATGCACACTCTTCTCCTGGGAGGCAATTTTCTGTGAGCGGAAAGTGTTTACCCAACCTAGAGACCCCTCAGTAGCCCAATGTAGCCAATAGAGAGGCAACAACTAGGCACAGCTTAGCCCAGAGACAATCAGATGCGTGGGATGGTAGCAGGCGTGATATGGTTGTGCTTCCTCTGGGTCCTAGGCCAGCCCAGGCACCAGGAGTCAGCCCTAGCCCCACGAGCTTGTTGTAGGTGGGGATACACGTCATCCCTGCAGTAGCATTGCAGCCTAAGGAAATGGAGTAACTCTGGGCAAGCGATTGTGGATAGTGGTGGGTAAACTAAGGAAGTAGCTCCCCTTCACACAGCCGTACTTAACACGGGACTGTTGAGAAAACAGTCAATAGAAGAAATGGAAACTTTCATGGTGTATATGGGGCCACACTGTCATTTTCTGTTAGTATCCTCTAAGCTATTGACTTCTGAAATCAGCTGGCAATTGGTTAGCATGATGGGTGGTGGCCCTTCAGAAGTCCTGTCACCCTTTGCACAAAGGCTACATTTCACAGGTGACGTAATGCTTACTTCTGTAGATGTAGAAAGGCATCTGAGAGCTAGAGAGATGGCTCAGTGGTTATGCCCCTGCAGAGGACTCAGATTCTCGGCAGCCACGTCATGGAGTCTGTTATTCCTTTGCAGTCCCTTTAAGGACTAACCACGCCCACTCCCAGCCACTTCTGACCTCCTGGTCGCCATCTTGACTCTCTCTCTTCTGTCCGTCTCTTGGCGTGTGTACACGTGTCTCTGTCTCTCTCTCTCTATGTCTGTCTCCATGTCTCTCTATCTCTCTCTTTTTAAGTAATAAATGTCTCCCTCTTCTTTAAGTAATAAATGTTTAGCTTTATGTATAGCCTTATGTCCATTTACTCTGCCGTCCACCGCATCCAGCCGCCTGACTCTGCCGCTTGCCTGGGGAACCTGCACTGCTCTGGTGGCAGCCCCTGCCTGGCTCGCAGGCCGCTTGGGGTATCCCAACATCTTTTTAAAGAACAATAGAGTCTACAAACCACCACCTATAACTCCTGTTCCAGTGGATGTCAATGCCTCTGGCCTCCAAGGGCACCCGCAATCACATGTGCATACCTACCCCCACACCTACACATAATTAAAAATAAAACAGATTTTTTAAAAAATATATTTATTTATTTATTATGATTAGTGTTCTACCTGCATATATGCCTTCAGGCCAGAAGAGGGCACCTGATCTCATTGCAATGGTTGTGAGCCACCACGTGGTTGCTGGGAATTGAACTCAGTACCTCTGGAAGAGCAGCCAGTGCTCTTAACTACCGAGCCATCTCTCCAGTCCAGT